GAGAGGTTTGCCGATCCAGGTGGGTCACCTCCAGGGTGGGGATCAAACTCATGCTGAAGTGGCTTTAGCTTCTTAGTGCTCTGCTTTAACCCACTGCGCCACCAGGGCGGGCCCATAAAGTTCTCATTTTCATTCGTTGGAGGGAATTATTTTTCTTTTGGCTCATCTGTAAAATGGAGTTTAAGATTCTGGATAACCTCAGAAGGTGCTATATGGAAGGGAGTGAAAAATTAATAATAAATATATTTTCTCCACTGTGATTGTCACAAGTAATAGAACTGGACACTGATAACCTTAGTTGAGTTTTACAGCAAAAGAACAGGCTGCGCATGTGCAGAGCTCTTCAGTTCTGAGGCAGCAGGGTCCTGGGCTGCAGCAAAGCACCTACATAAACTTTACTCCTCTTGGGTCCGACCTTTGCAGGAAGATCCACTGCCTCTGCTGCAGCCATACCTTAAAGGCACAGAAAAATGAGCAGGGAAGGGGTTCAAGAGCTGCCCCTGTTGGGTGGCTTTACCAGTGTCCCTGCTCCTTCTAGGGACCAGGATCATCTACGACCGGAAGTTCCTGATGGAGTGTAGGAATTCACCTGTGACCAAAACACCCCCGAGGGACTTGCCCACCATTCCCGGGGTCACCAGCCCTGCCAGTGACGAGCCCTCCACAGAAGCCAGCCAGAATCACCTGCGCAACAGCCCAGAGGAGAAGCCAGTGGGCAGTGAGTGGCATGGCTTGGCTAGGCTCTTTGTTGAGAAGGGAATGTGTGTGTGTGTTGGCGGGGGTGGGGTGGGGTGAGGTGGAGGGAGTCCTGTCCCCAAGTGGGGATTCTAGGGGAATGATGGTGACCTCCTCACCATCAGTGGAGGAACTCAGTCCAGATGGTGGGGTAGGGCTGAGTGGGGAGGGTGGGATTTCATTGGTACCAACGTTCCTCATGAAGGGGGCTCAAGAACCCCAGGAAGGGTAATTTGGAACATGAGGCAATCTTAATTAGTGTGTGGGGGGGGCATGTTCAATGTTTGAAATGAGAAAGCCTTCCCACAGCAACCCTGCCTGTAACTTTGTCATTTATCTTCTACACGTAGACACACCCATGGTGTTGATGGGCAGGAAACAACTTATCAGAGATGTGTTGTACTTGTCCTCCAGGCCCTTGCCGGTCTACAAGCCCAGAAAGGCTTCCGAGATGCCTCTTGTCAGGCTGTTGTCCACTAGTCAATTAATTGTGGAGACAGGTAGAAACAGTGCAGCCAGTTGTCTATGCAGGTTCGACATGGGGTAGCTCGGTCCTTCCTGGAGTCCCCCCATCCTCATCATCAGCACAGTCACCCCAGCAGAAGTATGTGAATGCGTGCTGAGTGACTGGTTTGCCAGAACATCTGAGCTCTGCCTCAAGAGCATGAGGTGTAACTATTGGCAGACAGTTGAGTCGGACGGAAGCCACTGACCCATCCCCTATAAGGCAGAGCACCCAATGTAGGTAGACAGGAAGCAGCTGGGACCTCAGACTAGACTGACTGTGCTGACAGCAGCAGAAAACCTCCACCCCTTCAGGGCATGACTCATAGATACCTTGGGAACCCCACAGCCCATGACAGCCAACATGGCCTTGCTTTTCAGGCTTAGGGAGCAGTGAGAGGGAGCAGATGCATTGGGCCCACAACAGCATAAAGGACAGCACCAGGTGCCATGTTCCCTACTGTTTATTAACAGATGGGAAGATAGAGTCCATTGGTTGCCGGGTGCTGTCCACCCAACTTTTTCCCTCAAAACAAAGACTGGAAGTGAGGGTGGAGAAGTCAACACCTGAGACTGTTGAGTCACCACTTGCCCCCACTTATTCTTCACAGTTTCTAGAGCTATTCTAGTCATGACATGCAGGGTTGGCCCAGGGGTTCTCCAGGCAGACAGTTGTTACCACACAGTTCCTCACAATGACGGAGTATAAGGCAGGAAGACAGACATCATGCCTCATTTTGCTTAACTGGCTATAAGAGATCAAGACCTGTTCATGGATTCACATATTCATGTAAATATAAACGGAGAATGAAGGAGTTGGTGTCTGGCTGTGCAAAACCAGGGGCAACCTTGCCCAGTAGATTGTGAAAGGCCATTCCATTAGAAAGAAAAGCAACCTTTTGTAGCACAAATTCCTCAGAAATTCTCATGGAAAGGAGAGGGAGAGCAGTGAGGGGTGGAAACACCCAAAGCCCTGATTTAATGCAGGTTCAGGCTAGTCCATGGGCCACTGGGCAGATACATAGTAGATGAAGCTACCGTTTTCTAAGCCAAAAGTTGGAGCACATGCTCAAAAGCATTTTATATTTCAGGAGTATTTTTCTGTGAAGCTGCACATATATCAAATCACAAGTAACTATTCACCCTTGCTAAAAATATAAAAATGACAGAAAATTCAGGATTATGACACAAAGTTCAGGATTATCACCTCTCCCCTAGGGAGTCTCTGCTTTTCCTTCAGAATTGTGGCAGAGAACACAGAGATGTTAATGGAAATTCCTAGAGTGAGTCTGTCCACCCCGCAACCTCCTGGCAAAACAAAACTGGCCTCCGCTTTTCCTGTAGGAACAACAGAATGTGTCAGCCCTACCATTTGCTCACCTGGCCTTTCTCTTTCTCTCCCCAGGTGAAGAGTCACAGTTTGAGATGGACATTTAAAGGACCAGCCAGCAAACTGAGCATGCCTCTGGGCCCCTCTGGCCTTCTTGGGATAAGAGTCCCATCAGCCAGGCCTTAGGAAAGTTCATCCGGGGCCAGTGTTGGGTGTGGGTTGGCCAACCCAGCCCTCTGCTCCCTCACTCAGGGCACCTGCTCTCCTTCCTCTTCGTGAACACCAGCAAATACCTCCATGTGCCTCCACTCAAGCAGGAGATGTCACCCAGGGGAGTGATAGTGGAACACACCCTGCAGCCCAGGGCCCGGAAGCAGGCTCAGGAGCTTTCTGAATGATCTGTCATCTGGCTCTTCCAGCCATCCTCTCTGGCACACCCACCCCTTCCTGAGGTGGGGGTGTGAGTGAAGGCTCCCCTCCCCCTGCTTCCCCAAGACAGGAATAAAAGCCAACTTTGCCCTACGGCACAAGTCAGTCCTGTGTGAGCTCAGTCCATTTGCATAACTAACACCAACTACTACCTATGGGGTGCTTATTAAGCCCTTTCCTGTACATGATCTCATTTGATTCTCACACTGATCATAGGAGGTTAGTAGAGCACATGCTAACCTCATTTTACAGCTTAAGGCACTGATTCAGAGAAATTAAAATCACACAGTAGTAAATCAGGGCGCGTGGGTCTGTGTCCTGGTCAGATGGGACTGCGCAGTGATCAGTGGTGGGTACCACTGCTCTTCTGGGCTCTGTCCCTCCAAGTCTGTCAAGTGACCTGTCACCTTCACCCCTGGAAAGACCCTCAGACAATGTTTTTGGAGTGATCCTGTTACTTAACACCGGTCTCAGTTTCCCTCAGCCAATTAAAGGAAACAGAGTTTGAGGGAAAGGAAAGTGGTTTTATTTGTCGACAAATGAGGAGGGCAGCAGGCTCATGTCCAAGAGACCACCGTCCTGCTCTTTGGCAAGTTACAGGCCATTTATACAATGTTCAACAAAGACAAGGGGAGGTGGCGAGTGTCCGCAAAGGGGAGGGAGTAAAAGTTAGTGCTGGGATGGAGACCAGTGGGCACCAGCCTTTATTTGCACAAAGACAAACAAAAATGGGGAATCAGCAAGAGTAATGGGGAGGGGCAGGGCCAGCACCGGGAGGAATTGGAGTCGGTGTGGCCAGCTTTCTCACTATTTGCTTTTGTTTGGGATTTCCTTTCCTCGACCCTAAACCTGTCAAGAGAAGAGAGACTGCAAGGAAAGGAGAGAAAAAAAGGTAAGCCCACAGACAATTAAAAGGTCTGGGAAAACCAATTTCATCATAAATTTGTCAAAAGGCTGCAAATCTGCAAATGCTTATCTGAGAGCCCATTCACTGTACATCCCTTTGTGTGGCTAGTCTGGAGGAACACAGCGTGAGCAGACTCCCTGCCTCTAGGATTTCATTGAAATGCAAGTTTGCTTTTAGAAAAGGTAGTAAAAAAGATCTTGTAGGATTGGACTTCCGGAGGTGATGCTGCCACTGGGGTCCTGAGCATGGATGTGCTTTGTGGGGCGGGTGCTGGGGCTGCCAAGGTCTTGTAATCCTGGGGAAGCTGGGTGGAGGCGGACGGGACACTTAAGCTTCCCACTCTCGTAGTTTGTATGGGTGGGGATGGTTTTCAAAAAGGCTCAGGGTTTCTGAGGGTTTTTCTCAGAAGCAGCAGACATTTCTCTTCACAGGACATGCTGGGATAAATGGCCTGTGACCCACAGGCAGGGGCCGAGTTGGATTTTCCAAGTCTGGGCTCGCTGCATCTTGTCAGTTTGCCCACTGGGGAAGCAGCAGGCCTTAATGGCCACGTGCCTTGCCTGACCTTTTCTGTAACTGAGTTGGAGTCCACTTGCCTGGTGACAGCGTGTGAAGGGACCCAGGTGTGGTGGCAGGTTGACTCCAAGTGCATGTGGAACATGCTATTGTGGAGGAGCCACCACAGGAAGCCCCAACCAGAACCAAGTAAGGGACCAGATCAGCTTACCCAACCCCTTAGCTTTCTAGTGGAAGTATCTCTCGCCTCCTGACATGCCTCCGGGGACTCTGCTCTCCTCTGCATGGGGAATCCCTTTCTTGATCCAGACAGTTAAATTATTGGCTTCTCTGGTAATTCAGAGTACACAATAAGAAAATTTTTGACAAGTCATACATTTTTACCTCCAAGTAAAAGTATTCTCCAGAAATACCAGCTATTTAACAATTTATTTTTACATCACTTTGTGCCTTTTTTTCATCTCAATTGTAATCCCCATGGGCTTCCTATCACCAGATCACCCATGTGCCATCACCATAATCCTGTGCACTTTCTCCTACCCCATTTTTGATCCCATTCCCTACTCCAACCCCCTGTCTTCCCCCCCACCCCAATCCTTTATCCTTTACGCTTCTGCTATGAGTGAAACCATCGGTATTTTTCTTTTTCTTTCTGGCTTATTTCACTGAGCATGATCCCTTCCAGCTCCATCCATGTTGTTGCAAAAGGCATGAGTTTATCTTTTTTGATCACTGAGTAACACCAGCTATTTTTTGAACATCAATTGTAGATAGTTGCTATGGAGTGACTAAGATTAGTAACACAGTGTAAGTCGCAGTGGGTCCAACCCCACATCTTAAAGCTTTTGTAGAGGTACTCTAGGAAGCCATCACTTTTTGGTCTGTCCACCCTGTGATATCACCAAAGTACTGTCTCTATAATTGGGGACCCAATAATAACAGACAGGTGTCACAGGCTGTGAGCCAGGAAATAAGTGTCAGGGCCTTCCTGGTGGTGCAGGGGTTAAAGACACACTTTTATCAAGTCATTGTCAGCCACTAAAGCACAAGTTTGATCCCCAGGCAGCAGCCAGGTTGCTGACCACATAGTGCAGCTGACCTCTCCTGTTTTGCCTGCTGCTCCCCTCTGCATTGTATTTCAGTAGATCCTCCTGTTCTGCTCCCCACTCTGTCTCTGGTAAGCCCTCACCGCTGGCTTGCACCCCAGTTCTTGTATGCATAAATAAATAAATCTTTATATTATAAAGAAAATATTATAAGAAAATATAAAGAAAAAGAAGAAATATTATAAAGAAAATATTATAAGAAAATATTATAAAGAAAAAGAGGTGTCATAAGTTATGGTGTGTCCCCCAAGGTGTGTACCACCTGATCTGGGGAGTGGTGATACTGGGAACTGCAAAGGGACACCCAGAAATGTCAGAAAGCAATATGTGATTGCCCACTGTTTCAGGCAGTGTTAAGGGTATCAGGGCTGAGAGTATTTACAGAGAAGGAGGGGCCTGATGGGGCTTTAATTCAGGGAGGGCTTTCCAGGGTCATGAGTGTTCAGGCACAGGGCCGAGGAAGGCCATGTGGCTGGAGGAATGCCAAAGCTGTTGTATTTTCCATGCATAACGTGAAGTCCAACCAGGTCAGCAGGATGTAATAGGCTCCACTGGAAAGGAGGCCTGATGAGGTGGAAGGAGGAGAGATGTGTCACAGAGGTTTTATATTTGGATGATCCAAGAGAGAGATTAGAAAGGAAATGCCAGGGTAGGAGTTGCACACGGTAAAAGGTGAGAGGGCCAAAAACAGATCCCTGGGGAATGTTCCCAGTGAATGCAGGGACCAGAGGTTTTCCAACCTGCACATGGTGTTGGCACAGCTGTGGGCATCCCTCCCACTCCCAGGTAGTCAGACAGAGGTAACGATTGTCTTGGCACCTTTTAGTGTGACATTCATCTCTGACATGACTCAAGGAAAGGCCCAAGGACATGTGACCAACATAGATGTCCCATGAAAACCAGTATTTCAGGAAGGACAGGGTTCATCGATAGACCAGGCTAGTGATCTTTTCCAACTCAAACCAACCTCATTCTGATTTAATGAACATTCACTAGACCTTGAGGCATTTTAAGGCAAGCATCTGGGAAAAAAATCAAATAATCCAAGGAGAAGTGATTAGGTGCAAATAAAAGAAGTGATAGAACAGGTTGTAAAGCGTATGTAAATTGTAGGGGAAGCCGCTCCAGCCAAGGCTTGGTGTCTGGATGTGATGTTAGGCTCTGGTTCACACAGTTAAATTTAGATAGTGAGGGATTACATTGTTGGAACAACAGAAAAAGGATAGAATGAATGCCTTCTGTATGTCTGATGTTTTAGTTCAATCTTACTTATGGTCCCAAACAACAAAACAGGTGTTTTTTATTTCCATCTTCCACATTTCTGGAGCTAATGCCTGTGTCAGAATTTCCCAGCTTCTGTCAGTCCAGTTCTGAAATTCATTCTTTTTCTTTCAATTTTATTTATTTAGGCATATAAGGGCTGGAGTATAGGCCAAAGGTTTGTGTGTGTGTGTGTGTGTGTGTGTGTGTGTGTGTGTGTGAGCAATGGGGTAAACAAAGGGGTGAGGGTAGGCACCAGAGATAGAGTGGAGAGCAGAACAGGCAGATTGACACCATGGAGGGGACACAGGAGAGGTCTGCTGTGCCTATGGGTCACCTCCCTGGCCGAGGAGCGACCTAAGGTCCTCATGTTCAGTAGCTGCCAATAACCTGAGAGTGCTGATACTTATCCTCTTGCTCCACCAGGGAGGCCCCCTGTGATCCATTCTTTTTTTTTTTTTTTTAAGATTTATTTATTTATGCATACAGAACTAGGGGACAGGCCAGACAGAGGTGCAGGGGCAGTGAGAGGATACACCAGAGACAGAGTGGGGAGCAGAACAGCCAGATGATAAAGTATACAGCTGAGGGGAGCAGCGGGCAGGTCAGGAGAGGTCTGCCACGCCGTGTGGGGTCACCTCCAGCTGCGGTATCCACCAAAGGAGCTGTGGCTGACTTGCAGTACTGTGCTTTAACCTGTTGCACCACCTGTTTCAGGGAGGGCCTGAAATCCATTCTTTACACCACATTGGTTGTAACTCAGGTCTGAGCTACTTCACTACTGAGATATCAAATATAATAGCAATTTGATTGAGGTATAAGAACAGGGCAGTGACAGATTGATGTTAAGGTAAATCAGTAAGGGAACTAGAGCTTGACAGTCATTCAGAAGTTCTGTGGATGGGATGCCTTAGAAATTGTGGAGTTGTGTGTGGGGCGGAAGTAAAGGAGTGAAAGATTGATTGCGTCTGTCATTTATTCTAGGGTCATTGAGTGTCTGCTGTGTGCCCAAGAGCAGGCACTGTTCTGGAAACTAGAGATAGAGCAGTGGAGTAAACAAAGCCCTCTCTCCCAGGGAACTGACTTAGTGAAGGTAACATACCTTTTGGGATTCAGACCAGGTATGATTCTTGCTTTATGCATTCAGCTTTCATTGCTGAAATAACTCAATGGGCTTGCAGACATTCTCATGACCAACCCTCCTTGCCTCCTAAGTGGAGGACATGTGGCCCTAACTGGAATAATTAAACCTGTATGGAAGGGACAAGACACCCCATAACAGGCAGTAGACACTGGAAATAACTGAACAGAGCTCT